ACCTCAACTGCTTTCCCAGGTCACAAGCAGGGAGCTGGATGGGAAGCAGGGCCACTGGGATTAGAACAACCAGCGCCTATATGGGATCCCAGAGTGTGCAAGGCGAGGACTTTAGTCACTGGGCTACTGTGTTTTTTTTAAATAGGTAACTAAGTAAGTAAATAAGTAAAGAGCATAAATAGAACATCAGAAGTCTCGAAGGGCTTCTGGCAGGGGTGAAGCACTCTGGACTCAGGAATTAATTTGAACCAGGCTGAGTCCTCAACCATGACATGCTGTGGCCAAGCTCCTTGGCTCCCATGCTTCAAAGGGATGGGTGCCCTCACTTTGAAGGGTTCTTATGAAGAGTGAAACAGCGCCTTCCATGTATACTGCAAAGACTCACTCATATGAGTTCTAACTCAGCACCATTTTATTTGACTTTTTTAAAAAAAATGCAACTTTCCTAAGTTTGGAACTATTGCTTCAATAGTAAAAAAACAAACAAACAAACAAACAAACAAACCAGAAAAAAGACTAAACGTGAAAGAATTATGGCACAGATGTCTTTGACATTGTGCATTTTACACTTAGGACATCCCAATAAGAATCTCGGTGCTCAGTGTTGGCTTCCTCCCTCATCCTAGTTAGGGGAGCTTCTGGTTCCTGGTGTTAGAAACTCAAGTCAAAACATCTGAAATGAAAAGGGGAATTAATATTCAGAAACTTAATATCGGGAAACGGAATGAATGAGTCTGGCATTAATGACGGACCTCATGAGACAACTCTGCCACTCTGCTTTGCTTTTCCTGTCTCACCTTCTCCTTTGCTCCCTCTCTGAGCACTGGGTTTCTCTACATGGAGAAAAACAGCTACCCTAATCGCCAAGCTTTTCTCCTTGCAGCTTCAGCCACTCGGACAAGACTAAGATTTAAGGCCTTATCCTAAATCCAGCGCTGGACCCCAGTGTGAGTTAGAGGCCCATTTCCTGGATCATGTTCTTAATTCTAGGCTTGGGATCTTGGAGAACATGGCAACTTCTGGAGAACTGAATCGATGGAGGTTGGGGTGGGTCACAGTTCACTAGCTCCAGCTCAATGCAGGGAGTGACAAATACAACAGTTAGGTCCATTACAATCTAGGACTCTCACCCAGGCCTCATGATATTTTATCTCTGGATCTGCAAAACATCAGACTCTGAAATTTCGGCAGTAGAACTTCAACTTTTGAAAAGCCAGTTCTCACTCATATGAATGCTCAAAGGACAGAACATGAAAATATACGCTCAAACATGAACGTCTATGCAGGCTACTGAGGCTGGTGGAGAATGGTTACACACCTCTCTAGTTCAATTCCAGCGCTTTGTGTATTCTAATTTTTGTGAAACACTCCCCTTTTTTTATAACAGGACTGATTTTAACTGAAGAATATGAGATGTATGTATTCATGGGTGCAAGCTTATAAATGTGCTAAATCACGAAGACCCATTTGCATTATTAGACAGTATATTCTTTTTTTCATTTGCTTATCATGCTTCTGATTTTTACCGTATCTGAGTAGAGCTTATACTATTGTTATATATCTTTTCTAAACATAAACATCAAGTTCACCTTAATAGTTTTTCTTTGATATGCTACATTTACCAAAATGCCAAAATGTATTTAAGAAAAACCAGACACCATTTTGTAACGTGAAAACTTCACACTCAGAAACCTGAATTACAGATTCTGCTGAAACTTGGAGTACTTGGCAACTCTAGTTAACCCAAATCTAGGATATCCTAACTCTAGGCTAGTACCAGAAATGAATAAAGGCTGCCTTTGTTGGTTGGGTTATTTGTTCTGCAGTGCACTGCATCATCAACTCAATCCTGGGATGACTATGGGTGGATGATGTTCTATCTTTCTAGTAGAGTCCATTTCACTGTGACCCTGTCTCCAATGAAGTGAGTAGACAACAAGGCAAGGCATTCGCAATGGAGAGAGGGGCTGCATGGGTCTATTTGTGAAATCAACAAAAACACAAGTTCCCAGCTGGGCTTCTCAGAACTCTAGAAATTGACCAAAGGTTCACAACCTTCTCAACCTTGAGAAACCTGGCAGGATTTCTGTAACATCAGACCTCAGGCTTTATTCCTGCTTTCCCCAGTATAGAGTGGTTTGGAAAAGTGGCAGAGCTGAAGTCCCAGAGGAGTGAGCGGGATTTGGAATATCTGGAATGTCTTGCCCCCAAAGCATCACCCTTCCTGAGTGGATCACAGGGCTCTCGGGAGAACACCCTGTGTACAGGCTCTTGTGTTACTGATCTCTCTGGAAACATGTCTGTGGGAAAAGTCTGATAATGCCCGGTGCCAGCATTTTTTGTTTGAGGTACTTATAAGCCTAGCAGTTGAAGTGGTGATTTTGTTGTTGTTGTTGTTTTTAATTGTTGTAGATGTTTCAATTAGAACAAGGAAAGATAGCTGGATGGGTGTGAAAGTCATTGTGTATAAATTTTTAAGGGAAGTGTATAAGTGTGCACACACACACACACAGGGTGACTGGGGGGCAAGAAAAGATCAGAAGTGGAACCTGCATAAAGCCTTTTGGGCAAGCAGCCTCTGATCCAAATGCAATGGAGGTGGAATCCCATGCGTGCTTTTTTCTTGCTTTACTCACTTCTTAGAAGCTCCTAGGGAAAGGCTGCTTTAGTGTACACTTGTGACATTTTGCACATTTGAAAGTGTCTTCATAACACTTCCCACTTTACTGAAGGCAGACAGGTAGGCAACACATTTCTTTAAAATCTTAGTCACTGCTCTATGTAGTGATGTCTAACTTCCGGTATTGCCACTCTAACGTCACCTTTGACGCTTAATTCTCCCATACCATCTTTTCCACATTTTGTAGAACTTCTTAGGGTCCAACTGTTGAAATTTCAAGATGGCACGCCTAAGCTAAAGTCCTCTTTCCATCCACTGTGCTGGGTGCCCTCATATCCTTGAGTTCTGCCAACGCCTACTTGATGGACCCCTCTTCCGTCTTTTGGTTCTTTCTGGAGTTTCTGTTACTTAGATATGCTATGTCTTCATCCGATGTAAATTTCCTTACATTTCTTTTTTTGCCCTGTTTTGGCAAGTATCTGCTTAATTGTAGCTCCCAACTCACTCACTGAATTTTTAAGTTTAAAGAGCATTTTCTTAGGACGAACATTGAGGTATAGCAAGTAAGCCTCCGCCTATAGCACTGGAATCTCATATGGGTGCTGGTTGCTCTACTTGAAATCCAGCTCCTTGTTAACATGCCTGAGAAGGCAACAAGGTGTGGTCTAAGCCTTTGTGTCTCAGTACTCAGGTGGGAGAGCTGCATGAAGCTCCTGGCTTCGGCCTGTCCCAATGCTGGCTGTTGCAGCCATTTTTGGAGTGAATCATTGAATGGAACATTTCTTTCTCTTTCAAACAAATAAAATCTTAAGTAATTCTTGTTCTTAAACAGTCCTTTTCAAAGGTTTTAACCCTCATTCTAAAGACGATCTCTTTTCTCATCTCTCAGGAGCTAAGTTTTTTAAAGCTTTTTCTCCCCATAGTGATTCAAGTTGTTGGTTTTTGCCTTTTCATCCACATTAGCAGCTCTCACCAGCAGGCAGCTAACTTGGTTAAGACAGGGACTACACAGCGATGTGGACTTGGGACCTTTCAGTTTGATCTCAGGGCAGTGTTTCTGTCTTGGTTGGTTGCACCATGAAATCACGAAGCAGATTTCCCAAACACTGGCTTTCTGCTGTTACTCATTCTATTGGTTTAAGGGTGTAGGGTTTTGAAAAGCTGCCTTGGTGATGTGTCATTTGAAGGTTGCAAATTATCATTCAAGGGCGCTCTGGCTGAATCATTTTTGACAATTTTGAGATCTTTCATTGCAGTCTTTGAGGTGCCTCAGATCTAACCAAGATTTTGCTGTATGTCCTGGCTCATTAAATCTTGTATTGTCAAATTTCTCCTGAAGATAAACTACTGAGCTCCCATAAAGGTGAAGCAGTGGGAGTTGCTCAGCTGAAAAAAAACATGTGCAGGAGAGATATTTTATGGATTTAAGTATGTTTTTACCCAACATGGCTTTGGTTCCTTTTCCCCTTGACCATCACATTAGAACATCATGCCGTTGTCAATGTTTGAGTCTTCAGGTTATTCTGCACTGAGAATTGGAAAATTGAACTGATGCTCATTATCTCCTCTGCCGAAGTAAAATCCAGCGTCCTTGGGGCAGGTTTCCAAAATTCTGATTCTCCTAACTTTTCCCCCACTCTTTCAGAAAGTGGTGGCTTAAAAAACATCCTTTATGACTTTACAAGAGTGTCAGCAGCAGGCAAAAATTGGGCATCACTCACAAAAACATGATTTCATTTGTAATACAAATGAACGCCGAGTTGGAAAGAGCGTTTGAGTGTAGTCTTCTCCCCCAAGAAGTAAGAGGTAACAGCGATTCCATTAAGAACAACAGGATCATACTAAGACAAGCATCGCCATGGCAGAAACACTATGCTTCATTGCCGCTGTTGCTGCTGCTGTTGCTGAGAGCCCAGAGGACAGAGGAGGAGCCCGCCAAAGCTGGATGTCTCTGTCCCAAGGGAGGAAGGGCCCAATGTGTCAAGGAAATAGAGGGAGAGGTGGAATTTTGGCATAAATGTGAAATGCGAACTGTATTATCTACACAGACTGGCAAAGAATTCAACTGGCAATTTCATGGGCCTATATCATCCACAATCCCACTTTAGTTAGCCCACTGAGAGAGAGAGCTGGATCTTTAGGCCCTTTGGAAATGCTGCCGTATGTGACTGTGACTGGAGGTTCTTGCAAGACTTCAACCAGGGATTGAGCTGCAGCTGCCTCTTCAGATGGCCCCGTTAGCATTGTGCACACGTCTCCCACCTGGACTCTAAAAGCATTTGAATTTGTAATTTCCAGATTAAATCTTTAATAAAAGAGCCACAACAGCAGCAGCAACAACAGCAATCTTAACATATGGCAGAAAAACCCTACTTAAGTTTGAAAGAATTAAAACATTTATTGGGCATAAATATATTACATATACACTACAGGTACAGTTAGGTATAACATATAGCATAGTATTTGCAAAATCTATACATTAAAATTGATATGGCAGTATTAATACAATGTATATGAAATAGTCTAAAATTTACAATACAGGAAAACATATGATTATTTTTTTTTCCTCTCCTAGAGTTGAAAAGCTTGGAATGTATGTCCAACAGTGAGGTAAAACATTTTGTCTTTTTAATTTAAACAATTGTGCGAGGATAACATTCAAACACAGTCAATTAGGGCACTTTGCAATTTTGACATGAATACTGAATTACTGTAGTCAACAAAACAAGGTTGGAAAATGCCAACATTTCGGGTTGATAAGAAGGCAGATAATATGCGAAAAATCTTTTTTTTAAAAAAAGTTTTCTTCTAAACAATTTTTTTTTTTTTGAGGACAAAGGGCAGTTTGCTTCACAAGGCTGGAATTTTCTGTGCCAGGGATACGTCTGCCATTGCAGAGGACTGAACGCCTCCAAAAGCCACTCACTCACTCCCACGCACTGCAGAAGAGCAAAAGAGATACGGCTGGTACAACACTTTATTTTACTGTTCGTGTATAATGGCAAGATATATGGTTACAGATCTGTATCACATATACATACTTGTGATAAAAAACAGTGCCGCAGACAGCAGGATTTTCGTAACAGAGGGATTCTAATGAGTATCAGATAGCAAAGAGCAATAAAACAAAGTGCTGTCAGCTTGTATTTCACACACTTCAGCTTTCCGGTGGTCAAACAGATGGTGTGGAAATCTCGAAAAGATCAAATATTCTTATTTTGGCCTAAAGCATTACTTCCTTTAAAAAGAATCAACCCATCGAGAGAATTTCTTCACAGCAGCAGTTCTGAAATGTTTCAAAATAGACTTTTTTCCCCCCTGCAAAAAGGGTTTTGTATTCATTTGTGTTTTTACTGCTGAAGGCAAAAAATAAAAAGTAAGTTAAAAAAAATAAAAATAAAAGGCCTTCTCTCCAAAATGCCTGCATGAAAGTCTTAGAAAAGGCAGGTGCCATGTCATAGTGGGTCATATATTGAAACAGAGGGATGAGATGTGGAAGGCCAGGACTTTGGCAAAAATACATTTCTCTTGATGTGATCAGTTTAACAAGGCTAATTAAACTGTTATAGTCAATAACAAAATACAAAGCTCTCTAGAACTTACTACATCAGTATAGGCACACAGAATAATCACTGATTTCAGCACTCTTTGAAGAGATGATTATGGTTTTCTGGGTACATGTAAACGCTTCAATCACTGATAATGGATTTTGTTTTTGGCATTTAATGCACTAGATACTCTCATCTTTAAAAACATAGGAAAAGTGTCAGAAGATTAATACTACTACAGGTGCTGCCAAGGAACATGATTGACCTAAAATTACAAAGTATAAAACACAAAAAATTAACATGCTACAAGGGAAAATTAGTACATAAGTACACCAAAAAATTATTTTACAATAAATAAAGATTGCACTGTAATTGGCATTTAAAGTACTGTATGCAGAATATAGTATAAATAAACCAAAAACAAAATAATGTTGGTTTCCCCATGACTTTGGTATGGGAATTTCATAAGCAAATACAGGATACTGCATCTTAGACAACACAGACCAAGCACAGAACAGCTATGATCAAGAAAAACAAAACAAAACAAAACAAAAAAAAAACCAAGCAGCAAAAATATACAAAAAAACAGAAGCAGGGAGATCCACTGTGTCTGCTGCACCCTTTTGGAATATATTTGCACCTCCAACTCTGAAATGTCCCTGAGGTACTCAAACATTATGGATTTTATATAAATAATCCAATGACTTTGGGTTAAAATTGATTATCTCGTGACTCAAACATTTTGCACTCCAATAGCACCTGTTGATTGAAGATCTCAAAGCACTTGCAAACATTAGAATCCCCATTTATTTTATTCTATTTTATTTTTCAGGCATGGGAAAACTGAGGCACAGAGAGGTAAAGTGATGCGTTCAAGCCACGCAGCAAGTCAGTGACAGATCTAGGGAGGGAATCTAGGCTCCTTGACCCCGCAACCACCCTGTGCTTACCACCAACCATTCCCTCTCCACCCAGCCAGACCAGCCCACCGGCAGGGCAGTCCAGACCCGGACGACTCTCCTGTTGGTTTTATCCACTTTCATCTGCTGTTAACATTAGTAGTAAGGGCTCCGAATTCAGGTATTGAAATTGAATTGCTTCATTGATACCTCAAAAGAACAGCCTACAGGCAAATCTTTCCAGAGTAATGAACGGACGCATTAAAAAGACTGCTCACAATTAGTGTAAATCGTGGACAACGGGCAGAGGCACTAAATTGTCACCAGTTGTTGTCATATACTTCTGGTCATACATAACAGAATATAATAACTCTAGTGATCATCTTAGAAGTAGTTATATACAAAGACAGACAGACAAGTTAAAGCAGCTTTTAAAAGAGCTGAACAAGGAAATAACTAGCTATTGCACAATGCCCTCGTAAAGTTACTGCTATGAATGGATGTGGTAAAATCTACAATGCTCCATAATTTATAGGTGTATGTTGATTACTTGATTTCTGATACAGGCAGCTCATAGTGTTAAAATCATAAGAAATACAGATCATTAAAACGTTTTTAAAGTACACATTTTGATTTAAATGAACTAAACAGAGTTAAATAACTGAGTGACAAAATGTTGTTTCAGGCAGCCTTGTCTGAGTGAACACATCTTCAGCATGTTGTTGGTGTGGCAATACTCTGACAACACTGGGATCCTAGCCCTGTAAATACACACACGCTGTGATTCATTCATGTTTACAGAAATAGATGATAAAGACATAAGAAGTGACTGGTGAATATAAATTACTACACTGTAACACAAAAGGAAAAAAAAAAAGGCTTGCAAAAGATATCAGTGAAACCAAAATAAAGGCAGATCTGGAAATTCAAGAGAACATATGAAACCTAGCTTTTGGTATCTGGCTTGCTTTTCTTCTTCTTTTTTTTTTTTTCTTTTTTCTTTTTTTCTTTAAAAATCCAGTTTAACCTCTTCCTAGTTTTGCATTTCAAAAAGGTGCACCAAAACACTGCCATTGTTTTGCCTAGCTAAATCTGTAAAACAAGAGAAGTGTATAAATCAAAAAAAAAAAAGGGGGGGGGGAAGTGGAGCAGGGAGGCTTAAAAAAGGGAATATCTGAATACATGTGTGTATTAAAATGTGTAGCATTAACGAAATTCATACCTCTAGCTCTGTCTGGGCCTGCTTACTTCATGAGGAAGTACTGTAATATAAAGGCAAATACAATGGATAAAGTTGCAAAGCCAAGCACAATGAGGGCTGCAAACTGTTCATCAGTAGGCATCAAGCTCTTCATTTTGGGGTCATCTAAGCTCCCCATGTCCCCGGTAAGCATGACCTCACTTCGTTGTAGTACAAAGGCTGCAGATGGGCTGAAGGCTCCACTGAGCTCCTGAGAGGTGTCGAGGCAGCGACGGCAAGCGCACACGCGGAACCGGTAGTCTGTGTTGCTCTGCAGGCCTGAGATCTGAAACGTGGCGTCTTCTCCCTTGTACACCTTGGAGAAAAGGCAACATCCGAGTCAGTTCACGGTGGGGCAATGCTGGTTTTCTAAAGTGGTCTTGATGGCTCTGGGGCTATGTGGAGAAAAGCTTCGCTTAAATTCCCTTCACAACCATAACCAATGGGATATGAAAAGGATTTTCCTCCCACTCTCAGTTTCACCCATAACAGAAGGTATTCCAGCTCACTGTGAATAATAATACATACTTTAAAATCCCATGATGACGCACTGACAAGAAAGGCAGCTCACATTTTCATAAAGATGTACCTGGCTAAATTTTAACAATTTCATCTATAAATCAAAAGATGACTTTAATATATAGTTCTACATTTTTGTCCCTTCTTCCCCCTCCCCCAGTTAACATTTTAAAATGAAAACAGTTAAAACCCATTAGTTGTACAACTGATAAAATACCAACTTTTAATGTCATATTTTTGGACAATGATACATCACCCAACAGTGTCTCCATTGAAAATGGGTCTTTATTCAGTTCCTTGGATGCGAACATGAGACACCATCTGGTCCGTCTTCACTGGTCTCATCTGCCAGCTTCCTTCTCTTAGCTAAAAGTCTCTCTGAGCAACTCCTACCATTGCAAATCAGATCCTTACTAAAATAAGTTTTCTTGTGTTATTGCTATGGTTGCAAATCAACTTCCTACCAAAATGAGCTCATAGAACTGGGGGATTGGCATAGCCAGCCTCACTTGGTCCCCAAACACAAGACTCATGAAGTCATTGTTTCCCTCACAGATAACATCTCAATGTTTGGCTTTTGTCTGGGGAGATTGCTTTTCCAGTCACTCCAGGCCTGAAGCAAAAAGTAACTCCCAGTTGCATGTCACCCTTGGACTGACTGGAACCCACTTCAACATGATTGATTGAACTCCGTGCAGCATCACTGATCAATTGAAGGAAAGGTGGAACACTACAGACCAGAAAAACGTGGATGCTGAGCTGAACACATAATTCTCGGTGTAAGGAAACTCAAGGTATAAGAACCCCTAAGGAGATCACAGGGAATTGGAGTGCCCTTGTAGGATGAAAATTCTGAGGTCATCCATTCCCTATCGGATCTCCCACATGGGATGGAAGAAGCCAGAACCCTCCTCACAGGGTCTGAAGACATCGGAACAACAGCCAGAAGCCCCGAGCCGTCCTCAGAAACAGAACAGTCAACTTCTTTTGGGACTCAGAGAAGGAGCTTTCTCTGGTCCTTACTTAGTTCCAACTTTGGGTCCCCACCCTCTCTTGCAATGACCATCAGGGTTGCTACGGAGCAGCCCCCAAATTAGATCAGATAGACAAGAGACAAATAAGAAAAGCTTAGAACTGACAAGAAAAAGTCAACGTGGACTCCCATATACCTCACTAAGTAGGACACAAAGATCAGTTACTCCTCACTAGGGTATTGAAGATTTCTCTGCACACCCTTCCTAAAACTCTTCTGCTCCTCCATCATTAACATATGGCTTGTTTGAGTCACAAGCCTGTTTGGACTATCCTAAAATTCACATAGTTCATTAAAAATCAAACTTGAATACTATAAGCTGCTAAATATAAATATGAAGAAAAAAAAGATACAAGACAGCCGAACAGTACCCTGCAACCATTTTAAGGTTTATAGCAATCAGTTATGTATAAACTAAAATTGAGATGTCAATAAAGTAGTTACAGGATGTGCTTAAGAACTTGCATTTTCTAACACATTGGTCACTCAGTTCCATGTCAATTCATGATGTTGTAAATTTCCATGTTTCTTCCTGTTGTTGAATTTGTGTTGTGGCTCTTTATTGGAGGGGATGATATTCTGCCAGTTCTACTTTCAGATCAAGGATGGTAACTCAATGAAACTGTTGAATTTATCTGGACAATAAGATGCTGGACTCTCTGCATGGTCCATGCCCACAATGATGGAATTATGACTGGTTATGAGTTGTACTACTGTAATAATATGGAGGAAATCAAAAGGGGGGAGGGCTTGGGGGAAATCCCAGAGCCTATGGAACTGTGTCATAAAATGAAATAAAATAAATAAATAAAAAAAGAAACCCTACCTGCTTAGGAAGTTAGAGAATTAACTGAGGGGGAAAAAACTAACTGACAGCTGCCTGGTTCCTTGCTCTACACTTTTTGCAATAAACACCCACTTTCTGCTGCTCATCAGTAACTTGCTGCACATTGCCAATGGAAACCCAGCAACAACTTGCTTGGAAATGTTCTATGGTAGCCCCTTTACGATGTGTCACTCTGCCCCACTGGAAGAACATTGTTATGACTTCTAATCCTACAGTTCATCTTCCCTATTCCACAAGCTCACATAGGCAGAATCACACAGCACCCACTCTGTTTTACTATGTTAACTGATGATGGTTACTGTTATTTAACTTATTATTGGATGGACATCTGAGTGGTTTGCAGTTTGGAAGTTTTTCACTCAACTCTTTGAGGACTTAGTTTTCGCTTGTTTGTTTTTAACGTTCACTTATTTGAAAGGCAGTGAAGGAGATGAGAGATCTTCCACCTGCTGCTTTACTTTCTAAATGCCTGCCACAGCTGGTGTTGGGACAGGTTGAAATCAAGCAGCCATGTGGATGGAAGGGAGGCAAATAACTTTAGCCATCACCCGATGCCTCTCAGAGTGGATCTTAGCAAGAAGCTGCAGTCAGGAGCAAAGCTGGGTCTTCCAGAAACCCCTCATTCCCCTACAGGATCAGGGCAGGCCCTATAGGCATCTCCACTGCTACACCGAACACCAGCCCCAGGACTCCCATTTCTTTATTCCCTTGGGGAAATACCACACAAATGATAGATCAAAGTGTAGGTTCATATTTAACTTTCTGGAAAACAGACTGTGTGTTATTCCCCACTCCCTCCAGCAAAGTACAAGAGCTGAAGTTGCCCTGTGTGCTCACTAGCACGTGTTACTATCAATCTTTCACATTTCAGCTACTGCAACAGGTGTGAACAGCACTCCACTTTCATTTGCCTAATGCCTAATAATGCTGCAATACTTTTCTTGCATTTACTGGTCATTCACATACCACCTTTTGGAAAAAGGTAGAAATATATTCCTTGTTTTGTTGCGTTTTTATTATTCTTTTGTAAAGGTTATTTATAGAACCTGGATATATGTCTCTTGACTGGCACATGTGTTGTCAATATTTCCTCCCAGTTTATGATTTGCCTAATGGTTTCCTTAAGGGGGCATTTTTGAACTATAGCCATCACCAATTTAAACTGAAATAATGCAGCAGTCTAGATATTAGAAGTGTTTCATCTCTGTCTGATCAGTTTCTTGCATTAAGGGGCTGTGATGTCTTCTAACACGGCCATCGGGAGGCATCCCATTGCAGGGACTTGAAAACAACAGGTTCCCTGAGAAAGTCATCCCTCCAGGGGACTTCTGCTAACAGGACTCTCTGGACACAGTGAAACTGACTCCGAGAGAGCTTGGAGGAAGTGATACTATCGTTAAAACAATGTAACAACTTATGTCCATTTTCATAAGCCATAAAACCATTCAATGAATACAGATGAAAAAAAAAAAACAGTTGCTACTTAAATCAGCTGAAGATCTGGTAGACAGGTAAGTTCAAAAGAAAGGAAAATGAACTGAATCTTTGCTGAATAGCATTCAATTGACTCCAGTGAGGTGCTTAGAGTATGCCTGACATACAATAATTACACAATAAAAGTTATTTGTTATCGCTACTTAGAACTTTAAAAATCACTAAATACGTTCTTAAAATATAGCAATTAAATGACAAGATTTGGACAGTCTCACTCCAGTAAGAGGTTACTTGTTATTTGTTCCCATGAATACAAATCCCGTAGAAATGAAAGCCTTCCCAATAAATTCAACTGAAATATTACTCGCTAGCTCTTCAGTTACTGGGAAGATACAAACGTCTTCACGTTTCTAAAGCCTGGTATGGAAACGTCTACCGGGAAGTGGGGCATTTCAATGGCAGATGTGTTTGCACAGTGAAAAGGAAAGGAAAGGATCTCAAACAGTTTAGAAAGGGGACCAGTGTTCACCTGATAGACATCTTCTTAAGACATCCCTTCCTCACTGTAAGATTTTGTATGTAGACTTCACATGTTTTTTTCTGCTGGGTTACTGTTGACTGACTAAGCCTCCTGAAAACCAACTCCATCTTTTTTTTTACACCCTTGTGGATTCATCACTGCTTTTGCTCTTCCCTTTGTAAGATTTTAAGCATGATCCTCCTGCCGGATGACCCTGCTTCTTTACAAACTGTGGCGTGCAACTTAGCAACCAGAAGGACAAACAGAGCAGGGCTGCAGCAGAGAAGGGAAGAGCTGTAGGAAAGCCCTCAGGGTACCAAGAGGCCCTACCCTTCCCACTGCTCACTGTTCCAAGGCCGAGGCTAAATCAAAGGTTTAAGAGAAGTTTGTTGTCATAGCGATTTCTCCAATCCAAACACAACCAGCTATTCCAAAGTTTAGACTACCTCATGATGGAATGGACCCTCCCTAAGTTATTTCTCAACACGTGGGAGGTTTTAGGAAAACAGTGTTGTGCTTCTTTTTCCTCTGTAGAGCAACCTTCTAGTTGTGACTGTTTTTTAGTTTTTTTTTTTTTTAACTTTAACTATTTTTCTCATTTATTTAAAAGTCAGAATCACAAAGAGAGAAAGACACAGGTACCGACAGGCTATTCCTTTCTCACTACTCATCGTTCTAAGGATGAGATTAAAAGGAATCATTGTCATAAAGACTTCCGGGATCCATCTTCCACTGTTCTGCCTGGAGCATTAGCAGGTAGCTGGATCGGAAGTGGAGGAGTCAGGACTCGAGCCCGTGTTCATGTGGACTGTCAGCATCGCAGATAGCAGCTTTCTCTGCTATGCCTCAGCTTTGATTTTCTTAAATCTAAAGTGTTCAGTTGGTAACTTTGTGAGAAAGGTTTTTTTTTTCCCCCCCTGAAATTGTTTAGAAAGAGATTGGTTTGCAATGTCTGGGTCCAACACAGTCTGACAGTGGGGTCCTGAAACACGTGCCATCTGGTGTGGACTCTTCATTGAATCATGGGTCTGGGTGTGGCAGACTGAGCCAACCTCTCCTTGCAATAAAGGAGAGTTTAATTAGTAAACATTCATCCACTGTTGTGAACAGTTAACTCATTAATCATGATTAAGTTTTCAGTGGATGTGACAAACCTCAACCATCATATTTGCTGGGAGGAATAAATGACACAAAGTTTGCAGAATTTGGTCCTTTGTAGACACTCAGTTTAAGTTAGTTCCCCTTTCCTGGTTTCCCATGGTGTGCCTGCCTATATAAAATATTTACAGCCTGTATTGCAATAACTGCTTACAAGACATTAGGAATTTCTTTCTTGATAATGGAAAAGACACATGCGTGAAATGTCTTCCTTTAACGTTTAAGGTACTTTAAAGTAGATCTGAGAATGTTAAGTTTTGGAGATGCTTCAAAAATTAAAACTGTGGTCCTGGCATTGTAAAACCCTTGTTTTGCATGTGCCTGGGATCACATGTGGGCACTGGTTCTAATCCTGGCTGCTCCACTTCCTTTCCAGCTCCCTGCTTGGGGCTTGGGAAAGCAGCTGAGGACGGCCCAAGGCCTTGGGACCCTGCACCTGTGTGGGAGACCTGTAAGAAGCTCCTGGCTTTGGATTGTCTCAGCTCTGGCTGTGGCAGCCACTTGGGGATTGAACCAGCAGATGGATGCTTTTCCTCTCTCATGCCAGGGAAGGCAGTGACATCAGTCAGCTCAAACCAATGAAGTAAAAACCTTTTAAAGAGAAAGATAGTGGAGATTTTCTGGTCCAAAGGAAGTAAAAGTGGTAGATTTTTAAGTGAAATTAAAAGATTTTTTGCTAAATAGACAGACATTGAAAAAGTCAATTAGTTAAATTTTATAGGACATAGTGACAACAGATTGAGTTATTATACTTATATCTATACTACTAAGTATAAAGTTACGGGTATTTAAAAAACAATAAGAATCAAAAAAGCCCCAGATACTAGTAAGAAGCCTAAATCAATGAAAGCTAATTCAGCATCTTTGCAGCAATTGTGCCCATAAGGCGCCACACTTCCACAGATCAGAAGCAAAGCCCTCCAAAACTGAAGGTCATTTTAAACGTCTGGGGATTATCACTAAGACTAGATGTGATAACGTGTGGCCACCTCCCAGGACAGGGCCAACATGCAGCAGAAACCTAAGCAAAACTAGCACAGAGGCCAGGATAGGGGTGTGGTTGGTAAAGCTACCTCTTAGCGATGCAGAAACTTATATGGATGCTGATCCAAGTTCTGGCCATTGCACTTCCATCCAGTTCCCTGCTAATGGCTTGGGAGCAGCAGTGTCAGATGGCCCACGTTTGGTCGCTGTCTACCCCAGTGGGAGCCCAAAGAAGCTCCTGGCTTTGGCCTGGTCCAGTGCTGGCCATTAAGACCATCTACAGAGTAAATGAGTGAATGGAAAATGTTTTGCTACCTTTCTCTCTCTGCATAACTCTTACTTTTAAAAAATAAACAAATGTTATGAAATAAATGGCAGAATAAGCTTCTTACTATAAAGAGTACTATTCTGTTACTTTGAAAATGTTTTCCTGCCTCCTTGCAGGATTCATGCATAACAGCCTACCACAAGGACTTGGTGCCATGAAACCTTGGGCCTTCCACACAGAACATGTGCAGGAACCAACAGAAGTGGACTCCTGGGCATGCTTGCCTAGTGTGTGCGCCTGTCCAAGGGTCCTTTCATGGCCTAGGATGCTGTCTCCAGCTTGCAAGGCATACGCTCGAGCCTCATCTGGGTTGATTTTCCCTGCGACTGGGCTGCTTTGCACATCAGCGCAGTGGGCCATGCCTTTGTTGGTCTGTTTTCATTCATTTTGACAGGGGCAGAATTACAGGCTTTTCCTCCTGCCTCAACCCAATTTAAAAGGCAGAGCTTGCCCCATTTAAGTTTTTTTTTTTTTTTTAAATTGAAGCTACCAATCATAATACTGGAGTAACTATGCACGCAATATTATTATTTATAATTTACTATTTCTAAAAACTATTTCTGTTCTTGATTTTGGTGAACAGTGTATTTCACTGTAATTCACATGTTGATTCCAAGTGGTAGGATTTAAAGCAACACCCAAATAACTCAAATAAAGGAGCCATGATGCTAGATTGAGAACTATACACTGGGTAACTGAAAGTTTCAACAGCAGGGAGCTTTCGGGGAAGGGCTGGCGTGGAAGGTGCACGGTGGGATGGCTGCAGGCTCAGCTAAAACTGCCTGGCCCCTCATCCCTCTAACCCCCAACTGGAAAGTGAGACAGAACAAATTCTACCACATGGTTATCTCCACAACTCCTCTGCTGACTGAATAGATCTGACAGAGTAACTGACACAGGGGCTGATGACCTCCGCTCTCCAAAGAGAGCCAAGACAGGGCGAGGGGAAACTGATTCCACAAAATTGGGAGGTAGACTTGTGCTTTAGGCTAACCCCAGGTCCTGCCCCAAGATGGAATCCGCTCCCGCACAGGCCTCCTCTGTTGGGAGAATAAGGCTAGGCAGGCGAGTTTGCCCTTGAGCACAGCAGCACAGGTATGGTCAACTTCTCCTGAGCTGCTGCTTGTACGGCTGTCTTGTTTTTCCTCCAGTGGACCAAGGTCAATAGCCATGGAGACCATGAACTCTGCCTGGCTCCCCCCGCAATAATCCAAGGGTCCTACACCTGGCCACCAAGGATAAATAAATAAACTCATTTTATTTACACAGAGGGGGAGGGAGAGAAGGAAAGAGGAAGAGAGCAGAACATAGTGAGAGAGAAAAAAGAAAGAAAGGAGGGTGGGAGGGGTAGAGAAAGATGCTTCCTGGTTCACTTCTTAAATGGCTACAAAAGCTTGGGCTGGGCCACACTCAAGTCAGGGGCCCAGAGGTTTCTCTGGTTCTCCCATGTGGGTGTAGGGGCTCAAGCACCGGGCCATCTTCCGTTGCTATACCACAGTACTGGCCCCAAACATAAACCTACTGTATACAGAGTTTTAACTGCAGACATGTATGGCCATAGACTCCATCAGGCACTTAAAGGGATCTAGAAACCTTAAAAAAAATCTAAATATCAATAAAATAAATCATGCCTTGTGAAGATGTCTGTCACATACTATTTTTATTTCATCCCTAATGCTGCAAATAAAAGAAATGATGCCACGAGACTGTCATAATCTCATGTTTGTTAGCACACTGAAAGTTTTTTAAAAAATCGAAGATTCATATATATGCCAGGAGGAGACGAAACACATTTCAATATCAGAAATACATTTATGCAGAGGAGCTCTCATACCCACGCATTTTCAGGTCCTACAAAGAATTTCTTCAGAAGGCAACAAAGCCAACCACTAAGAATTTTACAAATATAACAATGTTGGGGTACACTTAAATAAGAGACTGATAGAATTATGATTCCTTATGAAGGACTACACTATTGTAACAAAATGGGAAAAATCTGACGGGGGGGGGTGGGAGTTTGGTGGGGAATCCCAGCCTACACAACATTATACGACACAATTCAAAATTCAAAATAAAAATATATTTGAAAAACAGCAAAAAAAGAATTTTTACCAATTTGTCACATATTTTGACTGCCTACTGCAAATGATTTCTTGAATAGTTTAACTTAATTGATTATTTAATAATTACAATGGGCTGCCTGCCCACCTTATGACAACAGAGAAAAACCAGCTATAATCAACCAGAACCACAGCAAAGTTAGTTAAGGCTTCATGCTGATCTTCAGAGAGGCCAGGGTCCTTGTCAAATGCGGCTGTAAAAATAAGCCAGGGAAGGAGACCCCTTTCTGTTACGGTGACTTTCTGTTTTATCTAAGTTATAAACATCACATCTCTTCTGAGGGCAAATTGACTTTCATCACTCCTGCAGATAGAAGTACCCTGTGACTTTGATGTTGCCCCTCTTACTAATGCAAGAGATCGTGAGCATCAAACTACGTGCCAGTCCTTGGAAAATGAAACTGAGTAGCAGAATCTCCCATGTTGGTGGGTCCTGTTGGATAAGTGCTGTGCAACACAAACCTTATGATTCCAGGGCTCTGCTGCGGGGGCGAACAGCACTGAGTACCCCTCCTTTTCTGTGGCTTTTCCTTATAAATTCCAAGCGTATTGTTTGTTATCCCAGGATTGTAATTATTTTAACTTCTGTTCAGCACACACACACACACACACACACTACAAATAAGGGTTCATTCCCCATCTCATGTCGGGAACAAATCAAAGAAATACTCAAAACATCGTGATTAAATAAATGCTTGCTGAAAAGGAGATGACGACCAACATTTTCCGCCACAATAAAATGGCAGCAGCAAAAAAAAAAAAAAAATCCAGTACAAATTGTCCCTGACTAAATTGTGGCTTTTGATGGACCACTGCTAGCCTTAATCATTTCCTGGTAAATGCAGGAAACACACTGACATACAAAGAATGCGAATTCCCATCCCCCGAGCTTACCCCGTGGCTACTGTGTTTCTTCCTGTTTTTAACAAACACATTTGTTAGTAGATGTTTACGGTAAGTAAATATATGATTGTGTACTATGTTAGTATTTAAATATTGATTAGTCTCTAAACATACAACATTAAACAGCAGACTGAAACATTCAATCCGCTAATAAAATCTTAGGTTGCTAAATAGGTTATCCTTTACTCTGACAATATTGGACATGTATAGGTACTGGGAAAGTATTGTTGATATTGTAATGTGAAGTAGTGGTCACCATAATATAAGAATCAGTACATTTTTCCAAGAAGAGGAAGAAAAGCATAGGACATCGAATGAAAGGTTTTTAAAACACAATGATGCAATGTAATGTACCCTTGGGAAATGATTCATTTCGAAATATTAAATGGTATGCTGTGAAATTCCTTAACACCTCATACATATTTCAACCACTGTCCCATTATGGAATGAGGACAATGCTATTAAAGATAATTTAATCTGGTGTGGAAAATTCTACACTATCTGAGTGGAGATCCTAACACCAGTCAAGTTTTTCTAGTAAGAGGAAGTGTGGAGCTATTTTCTCTGAAATGAGAATATTGTATTAAAACAATAAGGCTGGATAATAAAGCAAACCCAGTTTCTTTCACTCCTAGGAGCAATGATGAATCTTTCATGACATCATTTACTGACAGGAATCAATACTGCAAGATGTCAGGTTGAAGATTAAGACATCAAGTATTCTTTATTATTACAAAAGAAAACATCAACTAGCCATTTAACAAAAGCTCTACCACATTGTTTTTACCTAGTTCTGTGTTGAGCCCCCTGAGCTTCAGAAATTATGCTCATGTTTCAGGGGACGTGTGGCATTTATTTCTGCCAAGGGCTGATAAGAAACAGGTCTCTGCTTACTGGTGGAATGAATGGTACTATATCCAGATTTCACAAAAATAGTTGTTCAGCACATTCCAGGATTCTACAGAGTATCTGGATTTTTGGTAGTTGGTGACCTGATACTGGGCAGCTCTGGAAGAATTAAGGATTAACAAGCAGGGTGGAATACAATAAAAATCAAATTATGTATGTGGCCATTTGCCAATCATATTCACTCTTGCAGTTTTATCAGGTGATATTTAGAAGTGATTCCTAAGCATAGTAAGGGTGATAAGCCATTATGACCCAGAGCTGCTAAGTAACAGGTGACCCTTTGCTTCCCACTGTAAATTTTGTTAAAAGGCAAGCAGGACACAGACTTCAGTAGCTAGGTTGACATGATTTACCTTCCAAATCAGTTGGCACTTTAGTTGTCAATCATACACAATCTTTGATAGTTGCAAATAGTACAGTCACTATTACACACAATTTACAATTTATGCCTAAGAATGCAAAATTCAATATGAATGTCACCACATGTAAAGTTAAATGTGAAGGACTTATATATTCTGAATGATAACGTAACAATCACATATTCTGATCACTAATTTCAAGAAAAAAGTAGCTCATTAAATCATTCATTTATGGTGATGGGCAGAGGCAAGTAGCCTGCCTGACTTCGTTCAGTTACATACCTGCCACACACAATGGTTCTTACCTGTTTGTATTCGGATTCTCTTCCAACCAATACCTGTAGAATGTAGTTAACAGGGTCGCCTTTCATGGGTGGTACTGTCTCCCATAAAATCTCACATGAATTTCCTTCCAACTGTGTTACTCGAGGTGCTGGAATACAAACCCATACATTTAAGATCAAAATTCAAAGAGTCATATTAAGAGCTAACATGCTAAAGCTATTAATAGGTAACCCAGAGAATGACTTGGCACTTAAGTGTCTGCCCTTCATGGGCAGGGGATGGAGAAGGTGGGAAAGAGGTGGCAGGTTTGTGTGTTAATTGCCCATCCTCCCATAGCCAGTAAGGTGCTCTTTGGGCACCAAGAAGTTACTTCAAGACTAGAAAGCCACTCATCAAAAAATTCTTTATTCATTATCTTGTAAATAACTACCTGGTCTGGATTTTACATACACACACATATATAAATTCTCCACTATGGCTCTTATACACCCTTTAAGATTGAGGCACTGTGCTAGGTACCCTGGGGGATGCAAAAATAATTAAGGCACATTGTTGTCAAAGATTTTAAGACCTCTAGGGAAGGGCAGAGCAAGGTATGAGACCAATAAAAAAGAAATGGAACATCGGAGGAAGACTAACATGGAATGGGGAACAGAGGACAAGAGATGGAGAGGGACGGGACACATCTGTGTGAGGGCTAAGGGGATGGTTCAGGAGCAGGTGGCAACCTAATGCCACAGAAGGGACAGTGCTGAGCGCTGTTAAGCTGCATTATATTTATGTTCTTTTGGCTGACTCAGCACCTTGCGCAGCCATGAGTCTCATTTAAATCTGAATTATATTAGACTGTAGTAAAATACTTCAAATGCTATAGATTTTTAAGAGATTTGCGTAGAGGTTATATGTCTACAGCTTGATTCAAATATGAAATTTTAAAACTTTACAACTAGGATACATCATTCCTCTGACTTCTCTTACAATTTCTAATTGTATGTGATTCTTTGTAAGTAATTGTTTCCATTGGTCATTTCATGTAAGACTTTTTTTTTTAAAGAAAGCTTTTCCTAAAAAAAAAAAAAAGCCTCTGTCAGAATTACTTGGTCAAAACTCCAAACAATTCACGGCAAAACTTAAAAAGGAATTTTATCAGACTAAACAGTCTTTGGGTAAGAGAATAATTTTGCAAGTCTAAGAGTACAAATACAACTTTGTGAGCCAGCTGCCTTTCCAAGGTAAAAGTGCTAAGAAAATACAGGTGTTTTCTAAGCACTGGTACATGCAGCAACCCTTCTCTGGGACCAACCAACCGGCCAGCTGTGGAGCTGCAGTGTACACAGGAGTCACTTTGGTTGAGGTTGCAATGGGAAGTCACGGGCTGGGGCATTTGTTGCTCACATGACCCACCAATGCCATGCAGGTGGATGAATGCTTACATCTGTCAGTCACAAAGGAGCAACTGTCAGAGGGCATACAGGGTAGGGAAGCTGTGGGAAGGTATCTGCCATACAGCAGCCTGGGAAAGAGCTATGGGAGATCCTTTCAGAATGTAAGTCCCACCTTGACATAGGACTAGAGGCTCTTTGTCCTGCTGTAATTGACTCTGGTTGGGTTAACAGCCAACTCAGCTCCTTTATGGGAAAGTCCTGAGTCAAATGCTCTTGTTCCTCAAGATAAACATTTACGGGTCCTTCCTTCTACCCAAGGGTGAATACACGCTTCCATCTGTCAGCCTTGAGTCTTTTTGAGCAACAACTGGGTAAAGCCACTGGTGCTGTCTGTCTCCCTACATGTTAGCAGTAGGCATCTCCACAAGAACCACAGATCTGGGCAAGGCCTAGCCTCAAAGGAGTCCATGAGGGCTGCATAAGTTCTTGCTGCTGTTAGCTTTACTCTTGCCCAGACAGCCCCTGTGGCTGGAATTAGAGAGAAGTACTATAGTTGATCCAGAAATGGGGAATCTGGGCAGAATGGCATTTGTCCCCTTGCCTTGCAATACAGGGGAGAAGATCTAGGTGTCCTGGGATTCTATGGCTTCTGTAATACTTAATCCTCTACAGAGGCAGAGAAACAAATGAGTCTCTCATAAACCCTGAGATAAATATTCCAGAAGAGCAGACCTGTTGCTACTGCACCCATCCAGGGGCAGCTCTTCAAAGCTGGAGCTGTGGGCCAAGAGGGAAAGGCTACGGAGTGCCCAGTGCAGCACCTGGTCTCTGGGCACCAGCCATCCCAAGGTGAATGGCGATCTCTGCTGCTCTACCTGTCTGGGAAAGGGCATCATAAGCCTTCTGTGGGAAACCTTGGCATCTCACTTATTCCAGCACCAGGGATTACTCCACACTTGCTCTTAACCCTTTTAGCACCTGTGGGGATGAGAACATTACACTACATCATTTGTAACACACATGCATGCATACTTGATAACAGCCATCATCCAACAGGCCCCCTTCTTTTAAGGCCTCTCCTATCTCTATTGTCCAAACATCTTTTCTAGAGTGTTCCTTTGATCCTATCTTGCTATTAGCTGGCAAGCTAAAGGTCGGCTGGGAGCCTCCCTGCTCCAAGGTCTGACAAGTCCTGGTGGTCGCACTGCCTACAAACCTTTGATGGTTGGTGGTACGCTTTTGGTTGTGCAGAAGGTGTAGGTTTCTGAGAAGGGACCTTCCCCAGCCTCACTGGCTGCCTGGATTCTGAAGGAGTAGCAAGTGAATTCCGCCAGTCTCTGGACCTTGTAGGTGTGGCTGGGTCCTCTGTAGATTGAGATGAACCTGGAGGAAGAAGCAGGGTCCATCAAGCATCTGAACTTCTACTCACAACAAGGAATCAATTAGGCCAACTTGACAAACGCTTTTCATTCATCTGGGTTCATCAATTCCTTTCTCTTTCAAGGTTATAGTTTTTGTACATTTATACAAGAAAAAGCATAATTTATGTACATGCAAAGACTGAAATGAGATTAATTATGGTCCAAATTCTAGATACATTAATTGGTGTTTTTATTTACTAAGAGATGCCAGAATTTTCACATGTTTAGTAATAGATCTCTCTATAATGTGGATAGTGTCAAGCTGCTTTCTTCTATATGCTGGGCTCTTCTTTCCAAAAAGAAGAAAAGAATTGTGAGCTTAGAAGCATGTATCAGGTTAATCATGTAATGGAAAAACAGCATGAATGGCTAGACAGTTTTCTGATAGTCGGTGGGTCCTGTGCCCTTCAGATTCATGATTATTCTGCATTTCTCTACTAATTGATATCATTATGTAATGTGAGCTAAGAAGATTAAAAATATAAAATCTTATAGGTCAGGCATTTTCCCATAAGGTCTGTAAATCTTACTGTTTCCACCATAACACTAGGTGTACTATCCCATTGTTTTTCTTAAAACAACAACAACAACAACAACAACAAACCAGTTATCTGTCAAGGTTTAGAAATAATACAAGTTGGGGTTGCCACCATGGCTCAACAAATGAATCTTATACCTTCAAGTACCAACATCCCATATGGGCCCACCAATTCATGTCCTGGCTGCCCCACTTCCCATCCAGCTCCCTGCTTGTGACCTGGGAAGGCAGCAGAGGATGCTACAAGTCCTTGGGACCTGTACCCTTGTGGGAGACTCACAAGTTCCTGGCTCCTGGCTTTGGATGAGCTCAGCTCCAGCCATTGCAGCCATTTGGGGAGTGAACCACTGGATGAAAGATGTTTCCCTTTCTGTCTCTCTTCTCTGCAAATCTGCCTTTTCCCATAAAGATATATTTTTCTGCAAGTACAGCAGGATCTTTAGTAGATTCAGGACCTGAATTTGCTGGACACTTTCAAACCTACTGCATGAGTTAATGCAACCCCACATCTCCACTGCCTCACCACACTGTCTTCAGTGACAACTTTATGTTGGTTAATTACAGAATCACCCTTCTATGTCCAACTGCAAGCCAACTTGGCTTAGGGGTAAGCAGAATTAATGCATTCATTTAACAAACATGTTTTGATCATATGCTGTGTTGGCAGGCTCTGCATTTCTGTCTTGGCTGCTCCACTTTCCATCCAGCTCCTTGCTTTTGGCCTGGAAAAGAAGTGGAGTATGTCCCAAAGCCTTGGAACTGTGCATCTGTGTGGGACACCTGGAAGAAGCTCCTGCCTTCAGATAGGCTCATCTCCGGCTATCACAGCCAGCTAGGGAGTGAACCAGCAGACAGAAGATCTTCCCTTCTGTCTCTTCTCTTCTCTGTATATCCGACTTTCCAACAATGAAACAAACAAATCAATAAATCTTTTAAAAAACAAGTAAAAGCTATAATATAGATGAAAGCTCAGCTCAGCCCCAGTACATAGTGAAAGCTCATGACATGCTCTGCTCCAGAGGCTCTGAGTGCTGCACCCTGAGCACTAGAGATCGCCTTTTAGAGACCTGAGTCAGGCTGACATCCCTGGGGAGCTCTGTGGCTCTCAGCCACTGCATGCTGGCCTCCCTCCAGGTTACTGAGGACATCCGCTGCTTATGTCCGAGCAGGAATAGTTCAATCTAAATTTGTGATGTTTTGCTGCCTGTATTAGCCTACATGAGACAGCCTGCTCTCCCCCAAATAAATGACCAATCTAATTTGGTGGCCAAATTTACGGTCACTTTCATTACATGAGCAGTCCTGTGGCAATGGAGTCAGTGGTGAAATAACATCTGTAAGTAGAGCAGGCAGCATGAGTTCCTGGAATGTTGCAGGTGATCAACAACCGCTAAGTCATTTTGCCATCAGTCCAGGCTGAAGCACAGAGCCACAGGAACCTGTTGTGCTATCATGTCTACTTCAACAAGCCCTGGGCCCACATTGGCAAGACCTCAAAAGGGCCTCTGTCACCCCAACTCCTGCTCTCTGGGGTCACATACCATCAGAGGCAATGATCAGGGCTCTAGGAGGACCCAGGGAAAGGACATGTGTGTGATCACATCGATGGAGCTTCCTGCAGTGCTCATCCACAGGCTCACGATCGGCTAGGTGGGGAGCCCAGGGTATATAAGAGTGGGTAATCATGTCAGTTTTGGGGTCAGATGAATTGGGTTCGATCAAGTTCAGGATCAACAGTCTGGTCATCTCATGCCCTGTCATCAGATAAACTGTAAAAACCGGTATGGGTTTTCATGTTGCGGTATGAGAAGTTAATAAGAGGACAAAGGAAGCATCTGTTATGCAAGGGCAGCACCTATGTGCTCAGTGGATACTAGCACAATTGCTCACACTCTGTAGATGCTCACGGCACTGTGCTGCCAGCAAGGAGCATCAGCGACAGATCTTGTTTCTTCCTGTTGGCATTCGACCCAGCCACATTTCTTGAGACGTTCTTGCTGGAGAGACAGATTGTGTATGTGAGCACCAGAACCCCTGCCCTGGCCAACCTGGCTAAGAAGCGCTATTGACAGCATGACAGCACGGCCGTGCAAGCAGGAGGCCTGGGCCACTGCTGTCTACTGTGCCATGGACCGTCTTTATTTAGGAGAGGAAAACTGGGAAATAAATGCTCTCTCACAACAAAAATATTTACTAGAGAACGAGAAGTATACAGGGCAGAAGGTAGAGTGCATCTTCACACATTTATAGTTAGCAATTTCTGGATGGCTTTGCCCTCGGCTGCCTTGAGGTAACCGTGGTATATTTAGCTGGTAACAAGCACAAATAGGGTTTAAATTTGGGAGACTTTTAAAATTTCGTTTTATGACACAGTTTCATAGGCGCTGGGATTCCCCCAGCCCCTCCAATTAGTCCCCCCACTCCACCATATGTTGGATTCCTCCACATTGTTAACAGTAGTACAGTTCATATCCAGTCATTAAACTTGGAGATTTTAAAAGTGTTTTAGACTCTGTGGATAAGAGTTGCCAAACTGCCCTGTGCAACATTATGTTTCATAACACATCTGCCCAAACTCTCTGGAGGCACAGCACCCACAGTAGCCATGCATGTAGACCATGAAATTACTGGTGATCGTGCCATGTCAGTGTAGTTTCATCAACTATAACAACATGCCACTCTGCTGGAGAACGCTAATAAAATGTCTCTAGAAAATAAAGACAAGAAACAAAAACTAATGTACTATGCTTCTGTGAAAACAAAATATTTTCACTTACTCTGCTGTCAGAATGCTCACTCAAGCAGCATAGGAGCGGGTTGTACAGAAATGAAGAGACTTGGGCCAGAATGTTAAGATGTGTGATCTTAACCTTGAAATTCAACAAGTCAGGTAACTTCATGCTAACAGCTAGTCAGTAAGCTCACTTGACAGAGATTTTTAGGGGACCCAAATGAAACAACCAAGAAATTTCAGGGAAAGGGTATTCTTTTCTTGCAGTATTTTTGGCTTTAACATTGCAGAAGATGCCATATTTGCAACTGATGGAAGTTGTTCTGTCATGTTCCATCTTTAACTGCTTCTTTCTTTAACTAATTTTAAGGAATAAATGATGGGCTACCTATGTATACATAATTCTCCATACACACAAAGAATACAGCTTTAAAATCTGTTTCTTTAAGACTTATTTTTTAGAAGGAAAGCTGCAGTGGCTTATAAATAAATTTATAGGAGAAACAAGGAATAATGCAAAGCTTTCGTGTTTGCTACCTTCTGCTCCCCTATTATACCTAGATCCACTACAAGCCAACAGCAGCCTATTAATATAAATTCCTCAAAATGATATTACCTGCTGACCTAAAATGGCCTGTAGCTTACTACTGGCTGCAAATAGCACTTTCCAAAACGTTTTCACAACAGTACAAATTGGTGAGCTCAATACAGCTACACTCATAAGCAATCATATGCCATTGTCATTTCTTCTTAATTCCTCCTGGCTGCATGCGTCTTGTGTGTGAACTTCCTGTGCTATCCAAGTGGCGTGTGGGGCTGGAAGGAGTTCAGGACAGTACGTGTTCTCACTCTACCAAGAACACAGGGTCCTACCATTGCCATGGAGAAGCAGATGGAAGCAGGGGGTATCAGGTGCGGGATACTGGAGATAGGCACTGGGCAATGTTTACAGATCGAATGTAAAAGTGCCAAGAAAGGAGATGAATTTCCCAATTATCCTTTTCTGTCAGCGACTCTCGCATTAAGGAGAGCGCCCAGAGTTCTCCAGACATGCTGTCTCTGTGGATGCTGGTGGTCTTATCCTAACCTGACAAAGATGACAGCCAATTCCAGTCTGTTTTTTTTTTTTTTAAATGAACAAGAGATTAAAAATTGGACTTGGAATTCTACTCCTGGTTCAATGAAGATCTCAAATAGTCCCATCTGCACTTTTCATGTTGGCTTATGCCTAATGTTTCAGCCTGAAATTGACTAAGCTAGTAATAATCGACTTAGTTTGCATTTTATGCCCTTTTTCTCAAAATTAGAAATGTTTTAAAAATAGGTTACTGTCCCCCACCCTTCATTTATCAGGGGATGGAGACAGGTGTTTTTTGCATTATGTAGAGGAAGGAGCAAGTAAGGCAAAAAGAAGTTCAGGGAACAGATATGGATCATGACACACAGTTGACACTGAGACCAGTTACAATTCACTGACTTCTGGAAGGTAACACACTGATGCCTTCTATCCAGGAAGGGTGGTCATGCAGGCTGGACAGGGAAGCAAAAGACACAGCAGCCACAGACAGCTCCCAGTCTAGATGCTGAACTGGCTGGGAGATGGTTCTAAGGTGGGCACACCCTCCATCCTCGGTGCCAACACTCAGGCTCATTTATTAGTTGCCTAGTGTGCTTTCTTTTGGTGTTTACAGAA